GGCTCTGGTCGTCCATACTTGGTCAATTTAGCACAGCGGCTGGTCTTCTTCCAGACTTAGACGTTTTGGCACAACAACATCTTCAGATGTTCCATTCTTAGCCCCGATTGCTTAATAAAACTTTTTGAGATAATTATTAGGATCAATTTGATGCTAACAATCTCCCCAAAGTTTTATGAAGCAAGCATCTTCATGAAGTCTTCAGGTCTTCTCCCCTCTGCTTTCTTGATTAAAGCTTTAGTGTGCTTGGTATGGATGAAATTTTCAAGCTCCCCCCTGAATGTAGCTCTTTGTTCTTCATTTTCAACTCTTAGATCAAATCAGATTCAATGTGAATGCAGCACCACTGATTGCACAAGATGCAGCTTTAATCTGCCCACAATCCAGCACATTCTTTGGAGCACAGAATAGCCACTCACCCCAAAAGTAGCAAATTCATCCAAAAAGGGATAGATAAATATGTGAATTACTTGACAAAACAGTGCAAACAGTCTTATGACAAAGAAACTTTCATTGAACCGCAAGTTGAGTAGGAATTCAGCTTTAGAGCTTGATTCAATTGAAGATAACTTGAATAACCGAAGCAAACACCATTGATATTGAGAAGCGGAGAGAAGAATTAACATTTAAGCTTTATGACTTCAAGAAACAGCAGGTCAATTCAAAGAAAATTGACAGAATTGCTGTTAATGCTTCTAAGGGCAAAACATGAAGGAAATTGCCATAAACATGTAGGATTGGTGATTACAGGCAAGAAAAAAAAAAGCTATTATAGATTCAAATCTACAAAAAGAGAGAAGATGAAAGAATACTCAAGATATTGGCGATAAAAATATGTTTGGCAAATAAAACGCCAATTRCCTTAGGCTGTGAGTACCATGAACTCTTGCTAAAACGCCTACGCGTAGATTTGACAAAATTAAGGTTCAATAAGTCGACTGACTCCAAGAAACTCTATAGACCAAAAGATTCAAGATCAAAAAAGGTTTGAATTCATCCAAGAACAAATCCCTTAAAAGGAATTTGATTAAAACATTTAAACAAATGATGAAATTAGAGTTTTTGGRACCAAACTGCAGTCGAACAGGAAGCAGTTCATGAGAGTATTTTTCAAGAAAATTGAATCTACTGCCAGAAAGATCGTATCGATAGAAGATAATCGATTTGGCTCTGATACCACTTGTTAACACCCAGATCTGACAATAGAACAATTTAACAAGGAAATTCAAGAGAAATTTGTAGGAGAAAAAGATGAAATAGAAATCGACGGCGCTTTCTTTATTGAATTGAAAAT